GGAACTCTGTTTTAAAACCATGTGAGGGTGGTTTCGAATTGACTCTGGATATTGATGATGTTTAAATTACTTGCGAGTAATTGATATGTGAAAGTTGGCTATTGTTGATTTTATGCCGAGTAACGCCAAACGATCTATTAAAAGAATTTTGAAAAATTTTCGTTGACTTTTTGAAAAGTCCTTGACTTTCGTCAATTAAAAGTGGGGCGTTACACGGACAATCTCTCTGGATGGATCGCTGAGTTCGATCATCTGTCGCTGACCATCGGGATTCACAGCAAACACATGATTATGCGTCCCCTTCTCGTCATTTAAAGGAACCGAGATACAAAAATTTTTTGATGTTAGTTTGACGTTTATCATAAAAGAGCAGCCGGTCGCTTTTGTTTTCTATTTTCTCATAACAGCCTCAACGAAATTTCCTAATTTTCCTGCAGTACCTCTGTAACGTTCCTCTCAATGACACATCAACTCTTTTCCTCCGTTATCTAAATTTCTCGAGATGACCAACTGAAAACCCCATATTATTGCAATGTTTTTTTGCCTATTTAACAACTTCATCACAACTATCTAATAGGTCACATGTAGCGAAACAACATCCATAATCAACACCGTCTCCTCCAAAATCTTCGAGTGACCCTGCTTACCATATATGTTAATAAGTTAATAAAATAACTTATAATAATATAAATTAATTAGTTTTATAAGATAATTCATTCTAATATAACTTAATATTTTATACTAATAAAAAATTGTATATTATAAATAATTTAATTTTATACTATTATTTTATAATAATATAAATCCTAAATACTAATATTATACTAATATAGTAGTTAGTATAATTATAAGTATAATTGTGCTAATAATTATCCTAAATACTAATATATACTAATAGAGTAGTATGAATAGAATTTTTAATTATCCTAAATACTAATTAATTTATACTAATATAGTACTTAGTATCATAATTATAAATTTTAGTTATAATTAATTACCAATATAATTTTTTAATATATATTAGTTATAAATATTAATATTTAATATTCATATTTAAGTACTATTACAAAATATTTAAGTTTTAATTTTATTAGAAATATTAATATTTAATATTAATATTTAATATCTTTATTAAATTTTATTATTGAATTTCATATTTAAGTATTATTACAAAATACTACCTCCTATTTTTAATATATGTCGTTTTGAGAAGTTGCACACTAATTAAGAATATTTTTTTGTGAATAATAACCTTATTTAATGAAGATAGAGATGAATGTTTTGAGAAAAAAATGAAAAGTGAATATGGAAAGACGTAATGTATTATTGGCTAAATAAGGGTAATAATGGAAAAATATATACAAAAGATCCAAAACGATATTTATTTAGGAAATAGTTGATAAAGTTAGAATGACATTTAAAAAAAATAGGAGGGAGTATTAAAATAAATTAATTATTAATTTTCTTAATTACTTTTAAAAACATTTTTATTAAAAAAAATGAAAAAAAAAAATTCTGGGCCAGGCGCGGCCCAGAGCAAACAGGCCGGCCGCAAAGCGCGGCTCGGAGAACAAAAAAACGGCCGCTAATAGTGGCCGTATGGGGACAGGCCGCACCCTTAGAATGCGGCCGAAATAGAGTAGGCCGTAATTAACAACTGTCCCAACAATATTGGGCCGCAATCGCCGGCCGACATATACGAATGCGGCCGCATTCGCCTGCCGGCAGTCAGCCAATTTTTTTTTTTTTTTTTTTAATTCGATAAAATTGTAAAAAATAAAAAAAAAAAATTTACTTGTGATTTGGAGAGCCCTTTCCCGGTGCTTGAGGATTGTCACGTCATTTTTTCTTGATTTTTTCGGTTTTTGTTTTTTTTATTTTTTTCGGATTTATTTTAATTTTTTTTTTCGTAATTTTCGTTTTTTTTTCAGATTTTTTGATTTTTTTTTTCGGACAGTGGCATCGTGCGATACTCAAGGCGAAAATCCAGCAGGAAAGTAAGAAATTGCCCCAGATCCATTCTTTTTACTCAGCGTAAATGTCCTCTTCGTTGCTTCGCGACCCTTTCCCTGAAACTCAAAGCCGGCTACGGCTACTGCTACATCACTAGCATACGTCGTTAGATTTTTGAGTTTTTTTTCATAAGTTATGTATATGTAGAAAGCGTCATTTTCACTTTGAAATTTAAGGTTTTTCAGATTTTTTTTTTTTTAATTGAAAGTGCAAAATCGTCATTTTCGGGAGCGGTATAGTAAAAAGCATGTGGTAACACAGTTCTTCTATGAAACTAGATGGTTAGTTCCCTTATGGAACCAACTACCAATGAGACAGTGTCACGTGGGATGTCCCACATGAACAACCGAGAGATTCCTAGTATTAAATAAGGAAATAGGACACTCTTTGAAAATTTGACACGTGGCTTGTGTGGTTTGCTTCCTTTTGCTTTCTTTTCCCATCTTTTTGCTCTCTTTTTACTCCCGTTTTTGTAATTTATTTTTTTGACTCCATCTTCTATTTTTTTAGGCCAGGTCATTTCAAATGGTAGATTTTTTTATAGGTGGTTACTGTCAACTTTGGTAAGAAATAGATGATTGAAAGTGCCACATGGGGCTGTCCCACATGATACCAAAGTATTTATATTTGAAGATGATCTCCCACATTTTAAACAAACAGGTCTAGAATTGCATGAAAATAATATTAAAAGAAAAAAGAACTTATGCTCACAAATGTAGTTAAAATATTGATAAAATAAATAAATTATACGGCATAATATTGAATCCACGTCAGATTGTTGAAGCACGACTTTCAGTTTTCAAAATAAAGATAACTGACCAATATTATTTTTGTGATAACCAATTTACCGTGAAACCCGTCACACATATTAATTGGTTTAAAAAATATTTGTGTTGCCTGTGTGATTAGTTTGATCATAAGTGGCCGCCAATTATCTCTATATATGGGCTCTCGTGTAATGGATAATTTTTTTATGAGATATCTAACCAACTGTGTTAAAATTTTATAATAATATCTGATCATTGAGAAACAATGACTTACAACAGTTTCCCCTTAAAGCCTAGGCCCCCCCACACCTGCAGAGATGATCTAAAAAATATTTGTCTAAGACAGATCAATTTTTTTAAATTCAAACGTAAATGCTTGTTTTTTTTTTTTTGGTGAAATTTTTTATTTCCAATCACCCCTTAAAATTTTGCATATTCATATGGCAAAAAATTAAAAACAAAAGGTCTAAGAGCAATTCAACTCTACGATGCAACTCACTTCGAAGTTGGGTGACTGATAGCTGATAAATATGCTCTAATTTACGTTACATTTTCGAATGATAACTTAAATAATATTGTGCTAATATTAGTACTAAATTGTTCACTGCACGTCGATCTTTTTGTCAAATTTTATTATCTTTCAAATTAATATTAATTGTTACTTTTATTTGGCAAAGTTTACACTAATGAATGCATTTAATTTGTTAACGAAGTTAAAATATTTAGTTTATAGTTTTCCTTAAATTTTGTTATATAATTATGTATTTCATTTATAATTAAATTTAGTGAACAAAATCAAATGGAGTGGGAGTAAATAAGGACATGACATTAAAGTAAATAAACAATATAAAAATACTATAGGAAATTTGATGACGGGGAGAAGAAAAAAAAAAATTTGGGGGAAATAACACAAGAAGGAATAAAATAAAATAAAATAGAATGAAAGGATTAGTGGAAAAAGTGTTTTTAATAAATCATGGCAGTATAGTAATTTGGAATGAACATTTATTTATTAGAACATTATTTTATTAATATACTTGCAATATATAAGGAATTTGCAAAGCCTAGAAAAAACATAAGCCTGCCACGTGTAAGAAATGTAGCATATGCAACTTCCCTTTTATTGAGATGTATATGTATGTATAGAGGGAAGAAGGTAGATTAAATTATTATTACATATATCACTTTTATTCATTGCATTTTCATTTTATATGTATTTACAATTTTAAGTTTATTTGAATATTATTAAAATAATATTTTCTATTTTTCTCTATCATTTTTTGGACTTTAATTTTTTTTTTATTTTTTTTGAAATCTCATATCCAATTACATCCATAAATATTTCTCTTTCCAGTGTGGATTCTCAAGAAAATATACATAAACCATGACCCAATGAATTGGGTCACCAGAAACTCAAAAATAAAATAAAATAAAATATCATACAAAATGCGTGGTCACAATATGATATTTCTGAAATTTCATCAAACATCTTAATGATACTTTCGGATGACGTATGAAGTAATTATGCTAGAAAAAACCGACATGAAATTATCGCAAGAATATTTTTAGCAGGGAGCTTTTTTGACTAAGGAATACATTATCAATTCCAATTGAAATGTAATTTCTAGAAAGTTTTTTTTTTTTTTTTGTAGCCAGCCACGATATCCAGAGTTATGTTCGACTAATTCGTTGGTCGACTCGGGTTGCACATTTAGCAGTAGTAGGTGAGTCTCCCAACAAAAATTTCTGCATCCACAAGACTCGAACCGGTTCTAGAAAGCTTTTTGATCATGGCATTAACGACCATACGCTCTCTTCAAAAGAGAAAAAAATGTATATATGCAATAAATAAGAAAAGACAATATTATATATCCAAGTCGTGATGCATTGTTTAGATGTGCGATATTATTTCAATCTTCTTTAGAGGAACATATTTTGACTAAAAAATGCGCGTGATCAGAAAAGATTTCTAGTATGTTAACTACTTGCTCAGCCTTGATATCTATATGACTATATATATGTGTAGAGCATTCTCCCGGTTTATCACAATTCACAACCAAAAGAGAGAAAAACAAATTAAAGAGAGATATAACCAAAAAAAAAAAAAAAATTATGGGGAAAGTAACTGAAATACCAAAAATTTCCGTGATGAATGTTGTAATATTGCTCTTCTGCATTCTTCATGTCACAATTGCGAAAAAGCAAACTTACATCGTTCGTATGGCGACAAACGAAAAGCCGGCGAGTTTCGAAAACCACGACCAATGGTACGAAGCATCGCTGGCATCGGTGTCCAATAACTTAGCCAAAACGATGTATACATACAAAAATGTGTTCGATGGCTTTTCTACGGGCCTCGCGGCCCATGAGGCCGAGCACCTGAGCACTCTACCCGGGGTGATATCCGTCATTCGGGAGACTATATACGAGCTCCACACAACCCGAACCCCTTTTTTTCTGGGTATTGAGAACCCCACTAAAGATTTTCCCAAGCCCAATATGGTGAGTGAAGTCATTGTCGGGGTCTTGGACACGGGCGTCTGGCCTGAAAGCCCGAGCTTTCGAGACGACAAGCTTGGCCCCGTCCCGAGACGCTGGAGAGGTGGGTGCGAAGAGGCAATTGATTTCAGCAAATCCAGCTGCAACAAGAAATTGATCGGGGCGAGGTCCTTTTCGAAAGGTTACCTAAGTTATCTCAATCAAACTAGGAACCCACAGAGCGAGCAAATATCCCCACGGGACAACGATGGTCATGGGACCCACACAGCGAGCACCGCAGCTGGGTCTCCTGTCCTAGGCGCCAACTTGCTGGGCTTCGCCAGCGGGACGGCGCGTGGGATGGCGTCTAGTGCTCGGGTCGCCACGTACAAAGTTTGCTGGGAAGACGGTTGTTTTGGTTCTGACATACTGGCCGGCATGGACCGTGCCATCTCGGATGGTGTCCACATGATGTCCTTGTCTCTAGGCGGTAGGACCCAGGATTACGACGAGGACGAGATTGCAATTGGAGCATTCTCTGCGATGGAGAGGGGCATCCTCGTCTCTTGTTCCGCAGGGAACAGCGGCCCTGCACCTTCAATTTTATCTAATGTGGCGCCGTGGATACTAACTGTGGGCGCGGGGACCCTCGACCGCGACTTCCCAACAAACGTTACGCTTAACGACAGGAGAAATTACACCGGCTTCTCGATTTACCGCCGCGTCTCGTCACTGTCCGGAGCTCTCGTCTACGCTGGAAACGTGAGCACCGACGGTAGTAGCGTGTGTACCAGTGGATCCCTCATCCCCGACAAAGTCAAAGGTAAGATTGTGTTGTGCGACCGTGGGGTGAATCCTAGAGTTGAGAAGGGCGTGGTGGTCCAAGAAGCTGGGGGATTAGGGATGGTTTTGGCTAATACCGACATCGATGGAGAGGAGCTGGTAGTAGATGCTCACTTAGTCCCGACCACGATGGTTGGTGCAAAGGCAGGCGGTGAAATAAAAAGTTATATGATGTCCGATAGATTCAATGCCACGACCATCACTATGTTCAGAGGGATAACTAGGGTTGGCGTGAACCCTTCCCCGGTTGTAGCGGCCTTCAGCTCGAGGGGACCAAACACTATCACCCCCGAAATCCTAAAACCGGACCTCATTGCGCCCGGGGTGAACATCCTTGCCGGATGGACAGGCGCAGTGGGTCCCACTGGCTTAGCGATGGACACCCGCAGAGTAGATTTCAACATAATATCTGGCACATCAATGTCGTGCCCCCATGTCAGCGGCTTGGCGGCCCTGCTGAAGGCAGCCCATCCAGAGTGGAGTCCGGCTGCAATTCGTTCAGCTCTCATGACCACGGCATACTCTACTTATCAGGACGGGAGCCCGTTGCTGGATGCATCCACGGGCAAGCCGTCAACTTCGTACGCTCATGGTTCCGGGCATGTGGCCCCTATGAAAGCCCTCGACCCCGGCCTAGTCTATGACCTCACCAAAAATGATTATTTGAATTTCCTCTGTGCAATGAACTACAACTCTTCTCGAATCAAAACCCTTGCAGGGAAAACAAGATTCCGTTGTGACGTCAACAAAACATACAGCGTGAACGATCTCAATTACCCTTCGTTCGCAGCCGCTATCCGACCTGCAAAGCGTGAAACCCCTAAGGTTTTCAAGAGGACAGTCACCAACGTGGGACAAAATGGTGCTACGTACCAAGTTTCAATATCTTCACCAAGTCCTTCGGTCAAGATTTATGTGACGCCACAAACGTTGGTTTTCTGCCGAAACAACGAAACCAAGTCCTTTACGTTGAAGGTTGTTGCAGCTCCAATGCCGAAGGGTACAAATGCCTTCGGCAACATCAAGTGGTCAAACGGTAAGTATGTGGTGGCGAGTCCAGTTGCTGTTAGTTGGGTTTAAGACCAACAGAATGCTTAACATCTTGAGCACCTCCATTAATGCCAATGTTTGTTCTTAAGACCAACAGAATGCTTAACATCTTGAGCACCTCCATTAATGCCAATGTTTGTTCATCACAAGTGTTATTTCTAGCTTCTCTATATATCTCTACTTTAGTTACTGCCTAATAAGGAGGTGAGGTAGTGCAACTCCAATAATAAATCTCATTTGAGGTATACTTTTATTGCTGTATTTTACAAATATATTATTCACTTTTTATCATATATATTATTGGTGGCATATAACAACTATTGTTACAAATTCAGCAAATTAAGAGACCTTTTTATTTCATTTCTTCTGAAATTCCTTTTTTTTTTCACTTTGAGTGTTTGTGGGATGGCTCCATATTTCACATCTATTAATAAGTGATGTTTATTTTAGCCAGACAATTAACATATTAATTAATGTATTATTTCGCAAATACGTTATACTACTATAAATTTGATTTTAGAATATATATTTTTTCATTGATATAAGAAAAAATAAAAATTTTATTTATTCATGTTAAACATATAATACTCAATTATTATTTTATTATAAAATTTATAGTCATATAATTTCATTATTATTATTTATAAAATTTACAGAAGTAGTCTTCTTCGTATTAATTTATGTAATGAAATTCAAGATAAAATTTTGTGTATAAATGTTTACAGAATACACACACATATTTTTTAGAATTCAATTTTCTAATAATAATTTTTTTAAGAAAATTGATTTAGCAATTGCCAAAAAATAAATCCCTGACATAATCAAGAGTTTTTTTTCTAATTTTCATCCTAAGGCTTTATAGATTATTTAACATACTATGTAATAGAAAAATATTTTTTATTAAGTTCATTATATAAACATATAAAAGAAAGTGATAAAAACGTTATCATGGTTGACAATAATATACAAATAACCAACATGCCGAAATTTTAAAGAATAACTAATATATTTTAATTTTATTATCTTGCCATCAGTAAAATTATTTAATGATGTGATCATTATCTCTTAAATGGTAAATAATATTAATTTTAAAAAAAAATTATTTGTTTTTATATAATTAAATAAAGGTTAAAAAATATTATCGACAAATATTAGTTATAATGGATATTAGTAAAATTATTGCAGATGTTAATAAAAATATTTGAGGAAAGAATCTTTTTGATCATATCTAAATAGGAAATCTATATATGCAAGCAATTAATGCACAGAGTAAAAAAAAATCCAAATAAGGTATGCATTAATTGTCTTTTGACTTTTCTTGCTACTAATTTTAGTAAATAGGATGACTTTTATATATATACTAGTACGTAACCCGTGCGATGCACGGACTGTATTTATTTTGGAGAATATTATAA